CATGCAATATCGAGAGCCATTGCTCTTTCAGAGCGTAAAATAACGCCTGCGTAAAAAAGTCATCTCAATTAGCCTTAAGGGTTTCTTACTCGCAATTAGAGTTTAAACGGCCACAGAACCACAGAGGATATATATATTATATATGTGTATATGTATGTATATAATGTAATACTACAGCAATCCGGTCTTGTGGACAAAGTGTACCGTTTAAACGGACTACCACGGCACCCACCACGCTCACCGCGAGCCACGGTAAGAAATTTAATATCCGCGTGCAGAAGGATTATTTAAAGTGCCCGCTGGCTATGCTATCGGTAAAAAGTTTTTGAAGTAAACCATACTTTCCCCGTGCTTCCTTGACGTCGGCCAGGATTGCTCATCTCGCTCGCTGCGCAGCAGATTGCTCTTTCCTTCCGTCCTTGCTCCGTCGACAAGTCTCTCAAGAATAACGTCGAAGTTATGTGCGGAGTTATTTGCGAAATTTATTAATTATTTATCAATCCTTCGCCAACGAAACGAAACCACTTTTACGCGCGGATAGACGAAAACACGAAAGAAACAAATGTAAATCGCGTTACGAATATTACAAATGGAAACTGATAAATGTATACTTATACAATATGAATGGAATAACTTAAAAAGGAAAGGTTTTCTTTAAATTCGTTATTTGTTATCACGTGAAAAAGACCGATGTTTATAGAGTTGATGTCGGGACGTTAAACAAAATCAAATATATCACGTGAGATTATGCGCGGGATTGTCTTTCGCTTGCCACTATCTTGAGAATACCATTACGTCTACGACGATGAAGCCATTACGGTGCGACGGAGCAAATACATGTCGGGAGTATTTTTCTATCGACGCGAAGCGTCTTTGGAAGCGTCGACTAGCTGGGCGCCGCCGCGCCGAGGAGACGATGAGTTCCAATCGATTGCCACTTGTCATTCGCATATTCGTAGCTGTTCCACTCATCCGCCGAACAAAGCATGCGCCTAAAGTGTGTACGTGTAGACCGGTGCAAAAAAAAAGAGGAGTAAAGAGTGTATGGAGGGAATCAATAAAAGCATTTACTCTACCTTCAAAAGAATGGATGGAAGAAAGAGAGGAAGATTGAGAGTGGAGAAGGGTGGAGATAATGAACAAGAAGAGCTGAAGAGATCAGAAGAGAGTAGAACGAGAGAGAGAGAGAGAGAGAGAAACCGAACCACCCTGACACAGGAATGGAGGGAACAAGAGGGCGCACGCGCCGGCCCGGTTTGATTTCGCTGGATGGGTTCGCAATAACAGTGCAAATTATTATTCCGCTCTCATCCACATCGATCGATATGTCGCTCCAGATCTATATATTGCGTGGCTATGATCTGGAAACCGACACCGCCGACCTTCCCCTACCGAGTAACCCGCGGAATTAACCCAGGCAAAGCAAGACACGGGACGGGGAAGTGCGGGCTCGATGAAGAGACCGAAGAGAGAGAGAGAGAGAGAGGGAGAGAGAGAGGGAGAGAGAAAGAGAGGGAAGAGGAGGGAGAGAGAAAATGGGAGAGGGAGAAAGAGAGAAAATCCCAAAGAGAGTGTTCATGGAGCAGAAAAATATCGACAGATCGCACACATGCATACATACGTGCGCGCACACGACGTCGCTTTTAATAACCGATAATATTTAACGTGGGCCGAATTCAATTTGTAGGAAAAACAGAGGTACGCCGTTTCCTCCATCGAGAGATTCGATCGTTGGTCCTTTCTCTCGTAGCCTCGACGTAGAAAAATTCTCCCTTACCTCTTTTCGCTGAAATAGGTATATATACTCTCGGTGTATCGGCGTATCGCTTCACCGCGTGCTAAAAACGATCCCGAAAGGAGTTCGGGATTCGGGATGCACTTCTTCTGCCGTTTCGACGATTTTTCGTAAAAAGAACTCGAGAATGCACCAAGTATAGGGCGTTTTAGGCTTATTTGAAAATCCAGAGAATTTTAAGAATTGATGAAATCGGATTTTCGGTATGCGCAAATAAATAGCGACATCTCATTTTAGATACGATTTTATTTTAATTAAATTCTACAGAGAGAGAGAGAGAGAGAGAGAGAGAGAGAGAGAGAGAGCACCACATAAATATACGTGATAATGTTGAAATGATATCGGAGGTTTGCGACATTTTGTTCATAATTAATTATTACCTAAAAACGATAGCCTTAGAATTCCACGCATCATAACAACGGGGAAATCCGCACGGGCGGATAAATGATATCACGTTGCGTTGTATATCAAAGGTAACGTGCGAATTTATACCGATACACACCGTTGTAACAGAGAGGGGTGAGTGACGCCCGTTCGGAGCGCTCGAAGCCAGAAAAATATTGAAAAATTGACGGACGCACGCTGCTACACGCACGCGAGCTCTGTAGTGTTTAATAATGGATAATATTTGATACCAGATCCGCCCGAGGGCGGGCACTCCCTCTCCGGTGCCCATTCGTCAGTGCGATCCGGTATCAACTCGTTTCACAAAACAGTTTTACAATCAAAATTTCGAAATAATAGAATAACTCTTTCAGAATTTAATCGTCTCTCTTACTAAACTTTGTCTATTGTTATGTTTTTACTTACATGCATCTCGTCTTGTTCTATTTGCGTTTCTTATTTAATACTTTGAGAACTGGAGCTTTAAAATAAACTAAAGTGACTTGAATTTATGAAAGATCTTGCTTTCTAAAAGTTTTCAGGCTGCTAAATTAAATTTTGATTTTTGAATTTTAAAATTTAAATTTAAAAAAAATATTCTGATTATATCGTGAAACTTGATTTTAGGACGTTGTTGATTATCTCTGAGTTTAAATGTAGCCTGAAAAAATATCAAATGTCAAAAGGACTGTAACCTCCATAAAGCAGGATCCAATGTCAGGAGGTTTAGTGTAGGTTTCATAATCAGAGTTTAAAAATTAGTTTAGAAATTAGTGTACTATTTACGTGTTATCGATGAGCTTCAAATAAAACAAAAAAAACTAGACACTCGATATTACTTTGCAATTAAAAACTCTCTAAAATTGAACTTTTAAATAAAATTATTTTTTCAAATTCTGTCTGCCATTTCATTTATTATTTATAATATTTCATTTTTAATCTCAGATTCGAATAAAGCATTATAAAATTATTCCACAGGCGAAGTTTTATAAAAATTGAGCGAGCAGTTTATAAAACGAAAGCGAGTGATCCTCTAAACGGGGTCGCCGGTCTACAAAGGGTTAAAAGTTGATGTATGCGTAAAGAGTTAAAAGTTAATGTATGTATAAAGTGTAAATCTTTTAAAAGAGAATCTTTTTATATGAATGAGGGATAAATTTGGAAGGGACGGAGAAAAGAGAAAGAGAAATCTTTTAATGGGGACAAGAAGTGGAGCAGTATAATGGATTTCCAATAGTAGAACTGACAGCTACCGGTTTTAAATTTTGCGTGTAGCTAGCAAATGTTACGCGAATGTTTACTCTTTAATGATATTATAATAAATTATATTGAAAATTACGCTGTCTGTGATTTACGTAACGACTTTGATTATTCCATACTCGACTTTATAACTGTCAGCATTTCTCTCTGATATTTTCGCGAACTTCCTAAATCAAATTATCGAGAAATAACGATTTCGCTAATTATCGGTAATGTCAAGTCGTAATTGGGCGATCATCATTGGCATATTTTACACCGCCCGTTATGATAGGAGTAGGTATTTATTGCAGCAGGACGTGCTGTCCGCAGTGAAAGAGTCCGCGGCGCAAAAGCGGGATAATTTTCTGGGCGCATCGAGATAATAAATTACACCGAGAGTAACGCATACGATCGTACCATTCCCTTTTATCGAAATGAATATTGTAATTTCCAACCGACTTTCTCTCTTGCCACGCTGAATCCTTTTTTCTCCCTTCTCCTTTTGTTTCTGTTGCTAAAACCACGCTTCCGCTACGATTTATGCCGTTGCTTCTTTCGGCTTGCGAGAAATTTACGTGCACGTATAAGCAGGGAGGTTGCCGTTTCGCGGACCGCAGGGACATGGGAATGCACGTGGCTTTCCCGTAACAATAATTTTCGTCCGTCAAAACCCATACTTAATATCCAACAAAATAATTCCTCACGCTTGACATACGCGATCGCTTTTTTTCCGACACTATAATTTTCGTCCGTTCCAAAATTCATGTTTAACGAGTCGCTTGATTAAAAATTAAAAATAAAATTTACCGTCCCGCGTATATATTTTTGCGATAATGCACATTTTTAATATTGCTGTCACGTCTCATTTAGATTCCGTCGTTACTCGAATATATATTCTAATATTACGTTTCCAGCTTACCTGTAGCAGCGTTTTTCTGGTAAAACATCCCGATAAATTTGCAATGTTTCTCCGCGAAGCTTTTCAATTATGAATACTACTACATACATTCGTATCTCTCAAGTTTCTCTCTCTCTCCCTCTCTGTATCGATCTTTGCACATATATACGCGTATATATGCACGATCTTTGTATCAATAGTGATACGTCACATCAAACATTCTATCCTATATAGGCTACCGCTGATACACCGAATGTGCACGCGTATATACCGAAGTAGTATATATCTGACAGTCTCTCGCGAAACTTCGTACTATTTGCGTCTACTTCGTGAAACTTGAGAAGATAGTAATTTGAAGCTCTCGTCGACCTTATACGAGTGTTTATCCCGGAAGTACATATCGCGCGCTACCCGCGACGCGAGACCGGGACATACGTGGAATATTCATAACGCTTTCACGCGCCTTCCCACTGTTCCATTGTAAATGACTTGCAAATGTTTCGCTAATTACAATAGAGTCGAGCGGGGTGCTCGCTTAAGCCCGGTTAACGAGCGACGTTGAAATAAAACAACGGGAGGGATATGGAGATACGTGCTCCAGTAAAATGACTGCTTCTGGAGAGAGATCTGCGCGCGGCATTCATTTATTATATATATATATACATTTTTTTATTGTTATTACAGGCAGGAACTTCAGCGAAAGAAAGAGCAGTGTGAGTGTTTTATAAAAGGCAACGAGAACTCTCTGGTGCCCTTCGACCCCCGCATCAACAAGATGGCTCAATTGATTTCAGACGAGGAGAAAAGTACGTAGCGTTCTTGCACATCTTTTTCATTAAACTCGATACGAGAAACTCGATTCATGTCCATTTTTATCAACTATAATTTAACTTTAATCTTGGTATCAAGTAACTCTTTTTCTAGTTCTAAGGAGAAGAGAAAGGGTAAGTTGAACTGAGAGATAAAATTTAATCTTACGTAGAGCGTAAATGTGCCGTGATCAACATGAAACGGCGCCGCGGCGTTGTAGACATCTGGATTTCCAGGATAGGAATCGCCGAATACGAATTGTTCCGACTTAGTATCTATAATAATAAGCTACTGATTATCCGCGAACGCGATAAGATATTACGGGCGCCGTGCTGTATTCTGACGTATTACTGATGACTCAGAGAATTGTGCATCGCACTCGGTGAGTATGGTGCGTAACGTTATCACGGAGGTGGTTCTAAGTGTAATCTGCGGGGATAACAAGGAGGTTAGCGAGGCAAGATTGGCGTCAATATCGTTACCGGGGCGCGCGCATGCAAGAGGAAGAGAGGGAGAGAGAGAAAGGATTAAGAGAGAGGGGGAGGTCCGTGCAATAAAGGCGGGCGTAATAATGTCTCGCGCGATGTCGTCCTCCTACGTGTATCCGGCGTCAAAATGCAGGAGCCATTCCTGGATTATGCGCTCCTATTGTCTTACGTCTATTGACTGCCTTAGAATTGCGCTAGAGACAGTTTCCGAATACGTCATTTTCGAGTTCGCCAAGTGGAATAAGGACCGCGCCACTGAATACACTTCTCGTGTACAATAAGAATTAGAGTATTGACTTAGTTACGCACATCTGAAGCGATTTCGTTTATAATCTTTATAGAAACGGAGTAGTTAATACGAGTACGTCGATGAAATAAATCGTTCGGAAAGAACGTCAACGAGAACATGTATGCAGGCGCTTATGAAAGAGAGCAACGAAATACACGTAGCGCAAATCGGATGTTCGGATATTCCGCATTAAGGAAGTTCTCTCGCTTCCTAGTCAATAATTTAAATTCTTAAAATTGTGTGAAAAATTCATCATTAATAATTAATTAATAATGTCATTAATAATTATAATTAGTATTTATAAGTTTATTCTGGTAAAGTTTTGTCTGAATTCGTATAATTTGAGAGAAATTTTTTTAATAAAACGTTTGCATATTAAATAAAAATTTCAGTAACGTCACAAATTAAAAGGAAAAGTATACTATGGAATAAAATTTTGCGTATATACTTGAAATATAAAATTCCATACATTTAGAATTAAATATTTTCAAAAGGGAGGGATGATAAAAACGACGATATTTCTTCTAGATAGTGATGTGACCAACTTTCGTATCGTATACGTGTAATATTGTAGACTTGTCTCTTAGATTTCATCAAACGCGAAAATCTCTTTAAGCCTCCTTTCATCCCAGACTAATTACATGCATTCGTGGAAGACACCTGCGCACGTAACGTAGACTATCACATGCTTTGCCTCGTGTTCAATCTGCGCGTCATAAACATACGTGCTTGCGAGATGGAAAAAGATGAGAGAGAGAGAGAGAGAGAGAGAGAGAGAGAACGAACCAACTACCATGTATTCTTCGCGGAAATTCTGCGGTGACTTCGCGAGCGATATCGAGTTTCGCCCCGTCTCGTAGTCGTCGCGGTATTGTCGACGAAAATCCTATTCACCGGCAGCGGTGGCGGTGGTTGGTGGTGGCGGCGACGACGGCGGCAAGCGCGATTCTGCTTTGCACAAAAGCCAACCGTTGCCACCCCGCCGCCGCCATCGTCGCCCCGCAAAATATGTGATTCGTGAAGCCGGGCTTAAGATCCCCGCACCGGAACCCCGTGGTGTCGCGTAAACTTGCATTCTCACCATCCGTCGCAGCTTGCCATTCTCTGGATGGACTTAACGACGCTGCACGTACCAACCCTCTCCCTCCCATGTTACAAACGACAAGCTCCCGCCCCCGATCGAATACATCCAAGAACGTTCCTAAGAGCCCAGGCGAGAACAACGTCACGTTCTTTGTTCTTTGCAAACATTCATTCATCTTGGAAGTACGCCAATTGCGGAGATTGCGATGATTTATCAGAAGTAGCTGTTATCCTTTTGCCAGTTGGGGAAGTAATGCTGTCTGTACATCTTGTTTCTAACAGCAGTAAATAACCTTTTAGGGATGACATTATCTTCTCATTAAAAAAACAATGCTTATTGATTTTGCTCAAAAATGTTTTGTAAGTGCGGAAGAATCTATTGATATAATACTCTTAATATATATATATATATCGATATGATCTTTCTGGTCGTTAGAAATGCTATATTTCAATGTTCAATGCCACATGCATTTCTATCTTAACCTCTTTGGTTAAAAGCTTTAATTCCAATAAAAAATCGTTAAACAATTGTTTTAATTTAATTTAACCGATTTAATAAATAATACTAAACACAGTTAATTTTTTTCAAAACTTTGATTACTTTTCTTATTATTACTTTATTATTATGTACATGAATCTAAAATTAACCATCGGACATATTCTAAATTCAATTTTTAAATAAACATTACATTGGAAAATTAACAACGCGGTTGAGAAAAGATCAAGAGGAAAATAAATGTAAGGATTAAAGAGAACGGAAAAAAAATATCAGAAATTGTTTGATAAAAAATTATTGTGCACAAACATTTATTCCAATGCCTTCCTCGGATGATCGAAAGGCGGCTCGTCGCTCTACTTGAACGACTCCTTTCCGCGATCCGTTTAAGCGGAAAGCTCGCGTTCCGACAGCTCTCTCGATATTTTCGCGTCGCTTGCGAACGTCGTGCAAGCGGATCGCGCAACTCGTAATTCCATTCGCCGGCAACTCCGAACGTGGGGGCGAACTCGGTTAGCCTCGTTTTGTAATACGGCAGGTCTGTTCCTCGATAACGCCGCCACGCTATTTATCGGCTCACGCCGTGAGCGCTTCTAACCGATGCATGTAACCGCATTCGCATCGTTCCAAAGAAGCCGCGTCGTCGACGGAAAGGAGGAGGCGTGCCGAGAGAACGCGGGTGGATCCAAGGAAGAGTGGCAAATTGAATCCCGTGGTAGTGTGTCCCGACGAACCCGGGGCTTCCTCTGCGGAAAACGACACCGTGTCTCTCTCTCTCTCTCACGAGATCGATGGGGAATCGAGTTATCGGCCTTAGTAGATCGAGCGTACCTGCGCCGCGTTAACCCACGAAACTTTATTGGCAATGCGCCGCACCGCGCGAATCCACGCGTGCCCGGACTCGTGATCGCTCTGTGAATTCCGTGAAAATCGACTCTCCCTCGTTCTCCCCCCTGCCTCCTTCCCTCTCTCTCTCTCTCTCTTCTCTCTCTCTCTCTCTCTCTCTCTCTCTCTCTCTCTCTCTCTCTCTCTCTCTTTATCTCTCGGGTTTGTCGAGCACGGTACTCGGCGAGCTCAGTAAACCTACCCTTGCCCCCGGAATGAGAAACTTCTTCCTCTCGCGGCTTTCCGGTTTCCGGTGAGCGAGGGACGATCGGCGGAAGTGAATCCATCGGGCTTTCCCGGCCACGACAACGGTCTGATGGTCTGATCCACGATCGTACCGTACCCAGGGACTCAATATCGCGAACGGGCGCGAAAAATGAAGCGCATCTGATGGCTTTGAGTATTTTCGAGGTATTTTGGTTATACAAAGAGATTTTGACGACGCCGATGAAAACATGCGACAACTGCAGATTTGATTGTCTAAAAAATTATTTATATTTTTTAAATTACGAAAAACTTTAGTAATCGTAGCCGTGTAAGAAACATTTAAAAAACTACTATTGATGAAATAGCAAAAATGTTTTAATCAGGGGAATTGACTTTTTTTTAAAACCAGGGAATGGAAGTAACTCGTTACTTGTAACGAAGTTACAGTTACAAGTTACTTTTTTGGTAACTTTACTGGTAACTGCGTTACTTTCTTTTTTTGGTAACTGTAACGGTAACGAGTTACATTTTTTGGGTAAC